CCGAGGTCAACGAAAAGCTAATAACTTAGTCAATTCCTTGTATTGGTCCGGAACCGTGCGATGTGAAAGAACATTACAGGATGAAGTAATAATATAATCATAAAAGTCACTGCCATTAACATGGTAAGGTCTGCATCTAACAATAATCAGAGAATACTGAAGAGCTACTGTCATTAGACAGGAATCAGTTACGCACAATGAAAGTTGCCTTTTGGACATTGCAGTCTGGGATGACCAATGACAAAATTAAACTGTTTGATGAAGATCTACAGTGCAGACATTGTAATAACAATAAAGGCATCCTACCATATTATGTGCGATTATGAAGCATTAGACCACAGAAGATGGGCTATTTACGGAAAAACAAAATTGGATGCAGAAGCACTCAACTTGTGGTACTGAAACGGATTCTAAGATTGAAGGTAGGGGATGCTTCTGTAAATATTGCCAGATGGTACTCAGAAACAAATATAGAGATAATAAGTGGGGATTTATATTTGCGACTATGTTCAAGACTCTGTTTTTTTAACTAATATTGTAAGATATTGTTTATTCAGGGTAATATCTATTTAATAGATGCGGGATGAGGTTCCCCTCCATTGGCAAGAGGAAGAATGTGTGTTAATTTCAACTTTATAATTTCCAATTTAAAGCAGACGAATTGAAAAACAGATTAGCTGTGATAAAATATCTGAGTGTGTACCAAAGAAATAGCCGTCTTTCACAAAAGATAAACTAAAAACAATGTTTGTGATGCATGTTTCATTAAATGAGTGTCATTTTCCAGATTACAAAAACTCTTTGCCGTCCTACGGTACTTTACTATATCATTGCCCGTCATTATGATGGAAATATTTGTTTTATGTTTTTAACCCCGAAAAATAGTAGTTTATTATTAAACAATTTTGAGCATAGTGCGAATTACCTTCATAAATGCGGATCAATGAAAATATTTCTTCAGTAAACAATTTAACAGTCAATTTTTTGCTCAGTAATTTAACTATTGTTTCCCTGTAGTTTAAAACATCATTTCCAGATTATATACTTTTAAGTACAAAGATGTTACACAATAATTATGGCGTATAAATTTATCATCTTTCTATTCTAACCATAAATAATAAGAAATTAGAGAGGGTATTATGAGGTGTGTTTATAAAAATTGTATCACTTTTACCCATTTCAAAGCACCAGGAAGAAGCCATTTCACTGTGATCTAAATTTATTGTTAACCAAACTACTGTCACGTCCACCAACAACAGATGACTAAAAACTACGAAAACGTTAAAACCTCATTTAGGATTATATAATATTCCGCCTTTTACATATTTCGGCAATTTACACCAAATTTTTTATCTGTTTAATTAGTTTATTCAAGTGTTAAATTATTCCGTTGAATATCAAATTAGAGGTAGTAAGTATTTTCGATTTTTTAATTTCAGGTTTTGGGAAAGAAATTTTGATTCAACAATGCGTTACAACATAAAAGTAAATAAATCATTTTGTGATAAAATTTGGGCAAATAAATTTAAAGAATGATAAAATTATTAAAGGGATTTGATTCAAAATCAATGTTGTCAAGTTTTCAAAATGTGTTTACAAATTATATTAATATCCGATGGCATCATTAACACTACAAAACTACTTAGTCATAACTGGCTTGGCAGATTTGACAATATTACTTCGTTTAAACGTGACGTCAATTTTCTACGATTGTTAAACTTTAAATCGATTTTTCTAGGGTTTAACATGATAACAATAAATAAATAATAATAATTTAAGAAAATACATTGCACTGTACACATTAGGGCAAAATTAAAATTTGTGAAAAAGTCTATTAGCTACAAAAGAAGAAAATATGACTGAACCTAACTTTGATTTGTTTCACAATATAAGCAAAAAAAAATATTATGAAAAACTCATATGTACTTCGTAAAAAAAAATTAAGTGAGCAAATTTGAAACTATTGTTACTTTATGACTGTTTCACATAAATAAAAGAAATGCAGACACGTCGCAAATATGGCAATCTAATATGCATATCTATATTGTGGTTTTTATGGTTTTAAATTTAGACACATTAATTTTATAATCTCATAAAACTTTCTAAATAAATGTTACTAAATAGAAAATATCTATTAAGAGATCGAAACTATAAAACTAATGATCACTATCACTTCCAATATCCGCTTTCAAAAACGTTTTTATGTCCCATATGTATTGTTTGAAGCTCCATTTATTTTATCATAAAAAATACAACTCTGCACTTTTTCAGAATATTCAAGGATTTTCAGATAATAAATATGTTTTAATTCTTAGTTCATTTCAAAAAACAAATTAACCGTTTCTCGTAGTAGAGATCAATGTCAATTGTATAATTATTTTAATGTCCTACAAAGTGTTATTCTGCAATAATCATCCTAGTTTGAGATATATTAAATGAGAAAGAATGTCATAAGGCTCTATAAATATGTATATTCAATAATACAAATTGTAGGTTCATTAAACATTGAAGAGATCAAGGGTGTTATAGGATAATAATGCTCTGTGTTGATGTACATACATATTGTCAAACTTATTACATGTTTAGCCATATAATACCCTAAAGACTTTAACTATTACAATCATCCTGGAACCTAAGATATTTTTGTAAATTTTATCTGGCATTCGCTTCTATGAGCTGAATAAATGTTTAAGTTCATATAAATGAGAAAGAGAACTAGTCTTAGAAAAAGAAAACTAAGGACTGACCAAAAGTTGATTATAACCCACTGTAATCTCCATGTAGAAATAATATTTTTATTGACATGCAACACTAATAAAATGAAATAGCAATAGCAAAATAAATGTGTATCAGCAATTAAAATTAAAAAAGCTCCTTAGCATACCCTGATATTTGATATCAGAGAGCACATACTTTAGCTTATTTAGTAAGAATGTTTGGGATACGTTTAAATTTAAGTTTAACTATCTTACTACGTTTAAAGTAAAATAAGTGAATTATTGTCTACCTATTTTAGAAGTACGATGATAAATGAAAATTGCAGTAGGCTTCTATTTACAACTCAAGCTATTTTTTTCCATATTAATATGAGAGGAAAATTAAATTTTTGATCAGTAGATCAATTTTAAATTTACGTATTAAATCTAACTCTAAACCAAGTTTAAACAAATAAGCAGTATTTTTCAAACACCTTTATCTGTAGCAACTACTCGAAATATTAATTTTTGCCATGTCCTCAGACTGCATAAATAAATACTTTATTTGGAAGAAATATAGTCTCGGATAGGAACTTTAACTTGTCTGATATAATGAAAATAAACTCATTTAACAATTTCTGTTACTAAAGCAAGTACAGAAAATTGCCACATGTAGTTTTTATTGCAAACTTGTAAAATATATTAAGTAATGTTTTCTTTCATAACACTGTACTTTAAAAAACAGAACTTTTTCATTACACACTATTTCAGATAATGTTTGTTTTTGCAAGTGTTATCGATTCACTGTACTGATCGAAAGTGTAAGATTTTGGTCAGTTTTTAGCCAAAAAAAAAGATCACATTGAACTTGAGTCGATTTCTGTCTTTTAGGAAACAGCTTTTTTATTACACAACATTTTAGACAATGTTTTTTTTGGCAATAAATAGTGTCACTGTATTTATTGAAGTTGAAAAATTTTTGTCAGGTTTTTGGCCAAAAAAGGATTCAATTTATTTTTATTCAAGTAGAAGCCTTTCAATTGACAGTAAAAATAATTATTAAATGTAAGAAATATAGAACTGGAATTTCTTGTAAAAAAAAAATAAAAATATAAATAAAAAAAATTTTTTTTATCTTTTAAATTTACTTTAATGATCTTTAAAAAAATAGCTAAAGGAAGCATCTGATGCGCTTTCATTCTATTGTCATTGCAAGAGTTCACTGACGTATACTCTTTGGAGATTTGAATCAGTCCAGTTTTTTTAGATCTTATTAAAGAACAGGATATACCTAAGTAAAATGAATCTTACTTCTAATAAAAAGTTAAAATGTCAACACCCCAATGCAACTGTAATGAAATATGCTATTTAATAACAGTTTGTACAATCTAGTAGTATCAGTCAACTTTATAAAATAGTAAAATGGTTAAAAGATTATAATGTTTTATTAACAATCAAAGAGATCGATATAAAAGAAGAACTATCTATTTTGCAACTATTACTCTACTGAAACATGTAACTGATCAATAATTTAAATTCAGCGGAAAGGAAACAATCATTCAAAATTTCTTGCCAATTAAGTAAATATTATCCATAAAATTACGTTTCTACATTGCATAAAATTTGGTTCCTTATTTCCAATTTGTCAGGGTTGAAAATATATGTAAAGAAAGCAATGGCAAGAAACACAACCATTTGGAAACACACAAATGTATCAGTAAAGAAAATTTCACGCCTCATTCACAGACTGTTTAAAAAACAGGTAGGTAGTATTTTATTCAAAAGTTTTCTGCATTCGACATTTTAGAAAGGCGCTCTTATATAATCATTTTGTAGATTTGTTTGGTAGTGCAAGCAATAACAAAAATATTTCATTATTAAGGTTAGTAAAGATCTGTATATAAGTATTACAATTTATGATTATTAATACCGATCAATTAGTTATCTATAATACTGTTAGAAATAATAAAAATTTAGGTACTTAAATTTTAAATATAAATGCAGTTTTTCAGATGGTAAACGAGGGTAACTTGTGTTGCTTTGTAAACAAAATTTAAGTAGGTACTAAGAAGAACAAAAAAGGCAATTGAATATAAAAAATATGTACTTACGTCTAGACTTAATACTTATAGTAAAAGATACCTGCTATAGATCTTTGCAGGTGATTGATTAGTATAAAACTGTTCACTTTTTAAACATAGAGTCTTTTTCAATAGATGATTAAAAAATAGATGGTAGATAACTACTGAATACATATTAAAATATGTTTATAGATATTTACTTAAAATTAATCGCAACACTCACCGCTTGCTGCTGATGCACTAACAATTGCACACCACAATACTTGTTTCTATCGCGGTAGGTTATGCACTGAACTTAATAACTCAAATAGAGAGTTTCCAATACGACCGAGCGTTGAAATCTCCTACCAAACGTTATCAAGCACGGTAATATAGGTGCAGTCCTATAGTGCGGTAGCATAATACCTTTTTGCAATTGTTGCACAAAATGATCCCATGACATGCTTTGCTCTTTGCTCATATCTTCGGCAAATGTTAAAGAAATGTGAAAAGTTCAATAAGGAAGTCATTATCAAATATAGGTACGTTTATATTATGCAAGTTGGAAAAGATTGCACAGAAAATAACACCATAATGGTTTTACAATGGTACTATGCAACTCTTGTAGAGATAAAAATGAATTCTGCTTTTTGATAAATCGTTGCCTATTTACTTAAATACAGACGAATTACAAAAATGCATTTCAATATGAGCGGTAGGTACATTGCTTTTGCTTTAGCTCTTAGTAATGCAGATTACAACTTTTGGCTGATTGCTTTACATGACATGAAACAGTTACATTTATCAGTGGTTGGGATAAGTTTGTTAATATTGGTCGTTCATGTAGAGAATGATTGAGATAAATATGTTTTATGATTCTTTCTTTCCAATATATAAAATATGAAAACTTTTTCAATATTTCAAAAAAATTTGGGCCAGTCGAGCTAAACTTTTCTATAGAAAAATGTGTCGATTAAAGAAAATTTCGAAACTAGTACCTATTTATGTTATATTCATTGTATGTAATTAGTGAGCGAGTTCCTCTTGGAAAAAAATGGGGGTAGCTCAACTAGTATACCATCTAGTTGAAAATCGAAAGATGAAGCTCGTTGCTCACAAAGCAGCAGACGTAAATTTAAAAATATTAACATGAAAATGCTACTATGATTTCATTATAATTTGACAACAAATTTTAATTGTCACAATATATCATAACAATTGTATTAATTTTTGTCGAATAATCAGTCAGTTCAAATGAATTGGTCGACATGCATTTGGTATAATGGAGAATGTAGATGTGATACTTTAGCATCAGCAAGGCGATATAGTAAAATGATTCCAGATTTCCAGAAAAAAGGGACTGTTTTAGCTCATACTAGAAAACACGCCCGTCCACGGTCAGTAAAGACCGTAGATGTGGAAAAAGCCTTTTTGACAAACATGCTCCTGTAAGAAAAGTAAGGGTTACTAAACCTCGAGCTCCTTGGCTGACTCCTAATCTAAAATTAATCATGAAACAAAGAGATAAGGCACTTCAAAATTTTAAACGTACTCGCGAGGACATTGATTGCTTACAATATAAAAATTTACGAAATTACTGTGTCTCTATGGTACGACAAGAAAAAAAAGGGTACTTGGAATTTATTGCTTCTCAAAAAAAGTAGTAAACGGACTTGGAAACCTCATGACTCTCTCAATATTCGATTTTGTAAAAATTTTATTTTGCCACCTCAGATGGCTGACCCTAATGAAATTAATGACTTTTTTTGCTTTATTTTTGCGGAATATCTCTAATAATTGTGATGATCAAATTAATTTTTATGACAATAATGTACGTGATATTAGTCTATCTTTCAAATTTGCTTTGACTACTGTTGATGAGATTCATACCATTCTTAATAGTATCAAAACAGATGCATTTGGTGTCGATAAAATATCTCCCACTATGTTAAAATACTGTAGTCCATTTATTGATCCGTATGTTACTCATATAATTAATTGCTGTATTGAGAATACTTTCCTTGTTTGTGGAAAAAGGCGATCGGCTTGCCTATACCCACAAAAAATAATCCAGAATCGTTCTCTGATCTTAGAATAATTAGTATACTACCTGCGCTTTCCAAAATTTATTGTTATATAATCAAATTTATGACTATTTTGTAAATAATAGTCTCTTACCTCAATCGCAATGTAGCTTCAGGAAAGGATATAGTAATTCAACTGCTCTAATTACCGTCACTGATGATTTAATAAAAGCACAGGACAAGGGACTAGTTAGTGCTTTAGTTTTATTGGACTTCTCTAAAGCTTTTGACACAATCAATCATAAGCTTCTTTGTTCTAAACTTAAGTACTATGGGTTTGATGAACCGACTTTAGATCTTATTAATTCTTATTTACATGGAAGATCGCAACATGTACTTATGTGTTAATAACATTTTATATTGTGCAAAACCGTACTTATCTTATCAACTTCGACGTCACCTGTTACATAGGTGTTGTATAACAATGAAAAAGTAATAATAACGGTTGGTAGAAGGAAGCACAAAAAACAGGCACTTAGGTAGAAAATTCTGGAAGGAAGCCTAGTTAGTCGAAGATAGGTAGTTGAAGTGAGAACAGTGTGCAGATGGGTAGTAAGACGATCGGCGGGCAGTGTGACAAAGTAGTGTAAAATTAATTGTTTAAAGTGTTATTAGTTAGCAGGTAATATTCTTTAAGTACTTTGTTGTTAATTGTTCTATGTAATCTTGTGATTGTGATGTTTATAGATGTTTCATGATAATAATTCTTTGTATGTTTAGCTTCCATTGCTTTATGCTCAAGGGCATATATTTTTCTAAGGTAAAATTGTTATAATTATTATTAACGATTGCTCATTATTTATTTCATGTTAAAATATGTATATCGTCGTGGGCGCCCCCGACTTTACAATAATGACTCCTTTGTTTTACAGCTAACTTGTTTTTGTAATGATGACGTTGTTCGTAAAATATAGATGTCTCATGATAATAATTCTGTATATGTTTAGCCTTCATTGTCTTACGCTTAGGGGCGTATATTTTTCTAATATAAAATTGTTACAATTATTATTTAAGGTTGTTCATTATTTATGACATGTTCAAATATGTATTTTGTCGAGACCGCCCAGATAGTGCAATAACGACTTCTTTATTTCACATTTAACTTGTTTTAAACAAGATCATGTTGTTCTTTGATTTCTTGTGTCCACTTTATGTCACACGTCTATACGAGCCTTGTTGCAGTTACTAACATTTTCGCCCGTGCGGAATGAATCTGGATTACGCTGGATAGCCTCCCGTATGGGACTCCAGTGTTAAGAAGGACCTTCCGAAATCTCAACTTTAGCTGAGTAGCCTCCCGTATGATGGGACCTCAGTACCTTCCGGCTCTGCCGGCTAACTAACACCAAATCTCTCCAGTTTTACTTGGAAGTGTGTATGACTAATATGGGGTTAACAGATGACATTTAGTGACACATTAAATGAGACAGGACTTATTTATCATTAGCAAAGGTTCTTAATTTATGCCTTTGATTAGCGGTTGTTTTGTATTTATATTTGGGTGGTAAGAGCAACGATCGTGGGTTTCTCTGCCATGCTCTTTCCCCACAGGAGCTCTAGGTGAGCCTGGCACTCTCCTTTTATGTTTAATGGTTGTTAATGTTTTTGTTGTTCTTTCTATTTGTCACATGTTTAATTTGAATTGTATGTAAATAAAGGTTAGGTGTATTTACTCTGCTTTTGTTTTATATAATTAAACCATACATCCCCTCTACAAAGTTAGTAGCCAGCGCCTTCCGGTCAATTAAAAATAGATACACACAACGTAGGTAGTCCTTATGACGATCACATATTTTTGGCCACAACTACGTTTACTTATTTTTTGTCGAACCTAGGGTTGTTATATTACAATATACCTAATAGTTTAGAAATACTTTCTGGTGTACCCCAGGGGTCAATTTTGGGTCCCTTACTTTTTATAATTTACACTGCTTCCATTTTAGAATCAATTCAACAGTGTAAAGTACAAGCTTATGCTGATCATACTCAACTATATTATCATTTTAATATTAATGATCTGGATCAAGCATGCAATATTGTCAGCTCTGAGTTACAAACTGTGAACATAATTTAAAATTAAATTCTAGCAAATCAAAAATAATTTTTTTTGGTACCAAGAAAAAGGTACAAATATTAAGACTCAACTTTAATATTATAATTGATTGTATTCCAATTCCTATTACTGATAGTGTAAGAAATCTGGGAGTGACTCTTGGCAGTAACTTACGATTCAATCAGCATGTGAAAACATTACTCCAAAAATCTTATTCTTCGCTTAGATTAATTTATAGTAGTCATATTCTGAATAAAAGACTTAAAATTATGTTATGTGAGTCACTTGTTCTGTCCTAATTACTGTGATTATGTCTATGGTTCATGCCTTAGTATATACAAGAAAAAATAATAGAATTCAAAAAGTTCAAAATTCATGTTGTCGACTTGTACATGGATTAAGAAAATTGTATCATATTTCTCACAAAATTGTAGAAATCAAGTGGCTCAACATGGAGAATCGTCGACGTCGCCATCTTGGCAATCTTGTGCATAAAATTTTAACCATTCCTTCTTATCATTAAAAAAAATTAAATTTATTAAACGTTCTAATGTTTATTCGAGGAATATCCGATTTAAAAATACCTTTACAATGCCACATCAACGTAGTGTCCTATTTAAAAGATATTTTACTTATAATTCTATTACTTTATACAATTCTCTTCCTGATACTTTAAATTTTTTAATATTAACAAATTCAAGTATAAACTTAAATCATATCTATTGAGTGGACAGCTGATTTTATAGTTTATACTCGAAGATGTTTATTTTAAACTGTTGATTATTGTTAGGTAATTGTATTTTATTTTAATTGTGTTATTGTTTCTTTTCTGAGCGATTGTCTGTTGTTGTTTATGCATTTTGAAATCTCATGCTATCGCATACAAATGGTTGAGTGTGAATAACTTTTGCTAGATATCGCCATGGGTTTGCGAATTTTTCCCTTTATTTTTTCTATTTCTTTATTTTTATTAAATTACTAAAATTTATTACGACTGAAGATCCTGACTGTACGGTGGTGGTACTATGGAATAATGGAGGTCAATATAGTAAAACAAAATAAAACAATATCAACAGATTACAGTGTTATAATTAATAGGTAAATTATTAGCAATTCAAGCGTAAATCTATCTAAGCGATACTAATTATTTAAATAATATGCGTCATCTGAAGAATAAATTCTGGAATTCCTAGAAAAATC